TAGTAGTAGTAGTAGTAGTAGTACTAGGAGTAGTAGTAGTAATAGTAGTAGTCGTAGTAGTTAGTAGCTAGTAGCTAGTAGTAGTAGTAGTAGTAGTAGTAGTTAGTAGTAGTTAGTAGTAGTAGTAGTAGTAGTAGTAGTAGTAGTAGTAGTAGTAGTAGTAGTAGTAGTAGTAGTAGTAGTAGTAGTAGTAGTAGTAGTAGTAGTAGTAGTAGTAGTAGTAGTAGTAGTAGTAGTAGTAGTAGTAGTAGTAATGGTAGTAGTAGTTAGTAGTTCGTAGTAGTAGTAGTAGTAGTAGTAGTAGTAGTAGTAGTAGTAGTAGTAGTAGTAGTAGTAGTAGTAGTAGTAGTAGTTGTAGTAGTAGGTGTAGTAGTAGTAGTAGTAGTAGTAGTAGTAGTAGTAGTAGTAGTAGTAGTAGTAGTAGTAGTAGTAGTACACGTACTAGTACTAGTACTAGTACTAGTAATAGTAATAGTAATAGTAATGGTAGAAGTAGTAGTAGTAGTAGTAGTAGTAGTAGTAGTAGTAGTAGTAGTACTAGTGGTAGTAGTAGTAGTAGTAGTAGTCGTAGTAGTAGTAGTAGTAGTAGTAGTAGTAGTAGTGGTGTAGTAGCAGCAGTAGTAGTAGTAGAAGTCGTAGTCCTAGCTGGCCTTTTTTCGGTTCCAAGGCGACAGGCATCTCGCGCAACACGTATTCTTGACCATTGTAAAAAGGGCTCTTTTAAATACGGTTTGCGGACAACTGATCACGTGTTTGGTTCCAAGTATTCCGTGGTCTCCTCCAACACGAGTTGTTTCCAGAATCTCAGAAGAATGAAGAGAAGGTTCATGTTGAACGCCGCTAGTGGCCTCTACTCGACCAATGGGGAACGACTTGGCGCCGCATCAAGGCTCACCGATTCACGCAGTGCGCAGTGTCAGTGTTGTCCGCGTGATAGCGACCCTCCGCGTACCCGACGAGTCAGTCGACGGATCAGGGCGCTGGAGACGCGAGTATTGCAGGCGGTGGCTGCCAATGACAACGACGGACGACGACAAAGACGACGACGATGACGACGATGACGGCGACGACGACGACGACAAACGACGACGACGACGACAACGAGCGACGAAGACGAGCAACGAAGACGAGCGACGATGACGAGCGACGATGACGAACGCACGCACGCACGACGACCCTGGCGGCGACGGCGCCCGCGACGGCGAAGACGACGACGACCCCAGAGACGGCAGCGGCGGCGACGCTGCAGCGTCGCCTGACGGCCCCAGCAGCAGGTCCCGGCGGCGGCGGCAGCGGTGGCGGCGGAGACGACGACGACGCCGACGACGACGACGACGTCACAGACGACGACGACGATACGACGGACGACGGCCCACGGACGCCGACGACGACGCCGACGCCGACGCCGACCGACGCCGACGCCGATTCCGACGCCGACGACGACGCCGACGCCGACGCCGAAGCCGACGATGACAACGACGGCGACGGTGACGACCGACGACGACGACGACGACGACGATGACGACGACGACGACGACGACGACGGACGACGGAAGACGGACGCTGGACGACGGACGACGTTTACCACTCTGGGCGCTACTGGCGAAGGCCCCTTTTGGCCTCTTTTTTCCAACCCATTTTTTCCAACCTCGTAGTCTTGACCTTTAGCGCGGGATTGCCGCCGTTTCCGGTCCCGAAGAGGACCCAGCGTCCGCTCAGCGCGGGATTGCCGCAGCCGTTTCTGGTCCCGACGAGGGCCCAGCGTTCGAGTCGCGTCGCCAGCGACCGTTCCTTGAGGTCGGTGATGCACCAAGTCCGAGGGGAAGACCCACGGGCACACGTTTCGAAGAGCCCCCCGCTCAGGGGGCCTTGCATGGATTCAGGAGGGGAAAAAACACACAGACACAATTGATCGGCGATTCCCAGAAAATATGGGAAAATATGGGAAGTGGGGGGGAAGACAAAAACCCAGAACCCAGGAAATATGGGAAACTATGGGGGATATGTTTACGTGTGAATTTATGTGTGTGTCCCAGTTCCCCTTCATGGATGGGGTGGCCCAGCTGCTGCTGGGCTCCAGGAGCTCCAGAGCCCTCCCGCGCCGCAGAGGAGGGGGCCGTCGGCTGCCGCCGTGCGCTTCTTGAGCGTGATGCCACCCTTAACCCTATAGTAACACAACGGGTTCGTTGCCTCACTTAGGGCTTCGGCTTTTTGGGGGGTAGTCCAAGGCATGCGGGTGGTTTGGTCTGAGACGTCTGCATCAACGGCCCCCTATCCCCCCATGTTTTTGGCCCTCCTTAACCCTATAATAACACAACGGGTTCGTTGCCTGACTCAGGGCTTCGGCTTTTTGGGGGGTATTCCAAAGGCATGCGGGTGGTTTGGTCCGAGACGCCTGCATCAACGGCCCCCTATCCCCCGTGTTTTTGGGCCTCCTGCCTCAGGTCCCTCCCGGAGGATCAGGAGGACCTTTGTTGCTCAGCAGTGGAGAGGAGGCATGAGAGGAGAGGCAGTCATCAAGCAACTAAAAACATACGCGTTCGGAGGTCCGCGCAGATCTCCCGGGTCCGCGTTGGACCCGCTCTGAACGCCGGGGCCACGCGCCAGGGGAGGGAGGTACAGCGTCGACTCCGACCCAAGGAATCTGCGCAGACCCCCGAACGTGTAAGTCATCGGCGAGCGAGGGGGGGGAGTGAGAATGAGAAGGCCTTCTCAGAAGGCGGCGGGACTTCCCAGAAGCCCTGGCGCCTTGTGTGTCTTCGGGGAAGGCTTACGAAACTTCTCAGAAGGCCTTGGGACTGCCGAGCCTTCTGAGGAGGCCTTCTCCTTCTCACTCCCCCCCTCGCTCGCCGCCGATGAAGCTGCTGTTTTTCGAAGCAAGCAGGGAGCGACACGCGCGAAGGCTGGCGGCCAGGGGATAGAGGGAACAGCAGACGCAGGCTTCCTGCCCGCCCTGCTCCGGACTGCCCGCCGCCTTCGCCGCCCGCTCGGGCCCCAGAAGAGTGCAACCCGGGCGGCGCCAACTTCGAAGCGGCGCTGGCGCCGATAGGAGGGGAGGGGTTCGGGCGGCGTTCCTCCTCCTCCTCCTCCTTCTCCATCCTCCTCCTCCATCCTCCTCCTCCTCCTCCTCCTCCTCCTCCTCCTCCTCCTCCTGCTCCTCCTCCTCCTCCTCCTCCCCCTCCTCCCCCCCCCTCCGCGTCCTCCCCCCTTTTTTTCCAGAAGCCTCAGAATCCTCTCGGATCCCTCCCTCCTCCTCCCGCCCCTCCTTGGCACGCCCCGCGAGCGCCTCTCCCCAGCCGTGGGGTCAGCTCTGGGGAGAGGTAGAGGTGCACGCGGCCAGAAGGGACCGGGAAGAGAGTCTGCAGTGCAGGTCGGACGGGGCTAGGGCGAAGATAAATCCGTTCCGTGGCGTTCCAGAACGATCTCAGAGTGCTCCGGAGCGCTCTGCGAAGACCACAAGGCGCCCGAGACATCTTGCAGAGCCGCTGGATCTCAGAGATTCCCGATTGATCCTCACCCGATTTTACCCTCGTCCCAGCTTCGTCTCAGCAGGCCCTGCCACGCAGGCCTGTTTGGGCAGCGTCGAGGCCATGTTGTGCTGCCACGGGCCGCGAGCGTTGCGCCACTTGCGCCTGTCGAGCGGGAGGAGAAGTGCGCGCGGCCGAAAGCAGCCAGGAAGAGCGTCTCTAGAGCATCGGGGGTGGACAGACCTCCTACCCTGAAGGGGAGGTTTTCTAAAGGGAGGATTGTCCACCGCCGAGAGCAGGCCCTGCCACGCCGGCCTGTTTGGGCAGCGTCGAGAGGCCGTGAGTGGTGCTACGGGCCGCGACGGCTGCGGCACCTTCGTGCTCGTGGCGGGCAGGCGAGGAGCTGCAGCGGGAGCGGCCCGGGAGCTGCAGGGGAGGGCGAGGATCTGGTCCCTGCCTGGTGGCGAGCGGTGGACCTCGGTGACGAAGGCTGAGCGACGAAAAGACAGGGGTCTTACGAGAGACGTCACCTGCACTTACATACTCCTGCTTGGTCAAGGTGATCTGCTGCAACTTCCATCGTCGCTAGGAGTCCTCCCTCGGCTTGATACAATCGAGCGCCGTGGCGTAGTGCTGTTCGCTTTCATGTACGTACTCTTTGTGGTGATTCAGTTTCTGCCCTCCCCGTCTTCTGCTGTTCCTTTTGGGGCCACGCAGGTCGGCAGTGGATCCGTCTATCAGCCTGCGTGAGCCCTGTGCAGACGCAAGCCCACTCGCATTTCCTCCTTTCCCCGCCACTCTCCATGGGCCTGTCGTCCTCTCCCCCCTTCTTGCTCCTGGGTCATAGGGCCGCCCAGTTCGGCAGCGGATCTGTCCATGGCCTGCACGAGGCGACTGCGCAGGCGCCCACCGACATTTGGACCTCGTCCGCAACGCACTCGGGAATCTGCACGCGTTGAATCTTTGCCCCGTCAGCCTGCGACGTGATGCGATGCGCGAATGCGATGAGTTCGAGGCCAGTCTGCAGAAGTTCGCTTCGCGTTCTTCCACCCCAAACAAAAACTAGCTTCTAATATCTGTTGTCCCGTTGATTGGCTTTCGGGGTGCTGGGTCGGATGGTTTTGTGTTCTGGATCGTTCAGTAGCTTTCCATTACTTGATATCAGATGTGTCCTAGACAGGTCATGTTCTCTCGGGGCTGTCTGGGTGCCTCTGGGAGCCGTCTTGGTCTTGAAGCCTGTCAAGGGGGTGAAGTGCGATTTGCCTTTTCAGTCCTCCAGCAGGCAGGGGTATCTCCTTGCCAATTACCTCGATGCCACTTTGCATTTGGACCGTCATTTCGACATCTCAGGATCTTGTCGCCGTGGCTTGGCCTCAGGCACCCGTCGCAAGCGCGTGCCTTTGTTCTTTTCTGTCGCATCCCCGTCGTTTCGTTCCAGCCCCCTACTCCAAGGACGGCATGCTTGCTCCCCCCCCCCATCCCTCCTTGCAGCTCCCTCGCTTCCCCCTACCCCCCTCCCTGGAGGCTCCCGGGGATCGCCGGAGGTCCACGGCCGCTGGGGCCCGATCCATGATCCTCTCACGATCCTGGGTCCGAAAGGCCATCACCCTCTCCCTCCCCCTCCTCCTCCTCCTCTCCCTCCTCCCCCCCCCTCCCCCTCCTCCGCCTCCCCCTCCTCCTCCTCCTCCTCCTCCTCCTCCTCCTCCTCCTCCTCCTCCTCCTCCTCCCACTCCCCGTCCTCCTCTTCCTCCGCCTCCTCTTCCTCCTCCTTCCCCTCCTCCCTTCGTCATCCGCCCCTCCCTCAACCTCCAGCGCGTGCGAGGCCCGGCGCTCGCACTCACCCCTGTGGGTTGCTGGAGTCTGGTGAGCAGCAGCGTGCGGGCCAGGCAGGTACCTCGAGTCATCCTGCCCTGCCATCGGCCCACCCCACTTCAGCCCCCTGGCTTGTCGCTTCACTCTGGCGCCCAATTTGCGCTCCACGTGCGCCAGATGTCTGCATCATCGCTGCCTTTTGTCTCGGAGCCCCCCGAAGGGTGTGGTGACCACACCGCGTGGTGATTCAGTGGGGATTCGGGGTCGCCGCACGGCTTTGGGACTCGGGCCGTTCTTCGAGGACGTTTCGGGCGACTGGGGCCTTTGAGGTCCCGAGGCCGTGCAGTAACGGACCGCGCGGCGAGGTCTCTGTGGGTTCTGAGATCACCGCGCGGTCCCGCACTGCACGGTTTCTTGGCCCCCAAGTGTGGGTATCTTCAAATTCCCATTTGCTTCCTGCCACTACCGTTCTTGTGCTGCATCCACTCGGTGACCTTCAAGCTTCGTGGGTTCTGGCAGTAACAGTACTCTCCACGCAGGGCCACGACTGGCGGCAAAGTTGCGCTGCGATGCTAACCAGCGAACGACGATGCAAAAGGCAGTGCCGCCTGGCAAGGGTTCCTATGGCGATGGCGTGCCCCTCGGAGGGCGGCCGTATGGTCTCGCCCATATGAGGGTTGGTCCAGTGATATCGCCCCCCCATGCGCTTCTTGGGGTAAGCGCGGAATTCGTACCACTCCGCTGTTTGGCTCCGCCCTGACTTCTCTTCAGAGTATGACTGCCTCTCAGAGCAGGAGCAGGGGGAGAGGTGGTGGCGGTGGTGGAGGGAACATGAGGACGGGTGGGACGGGACGAAGAGAGAGGAAAGAGGAGGGATGAAGTCAGGCGGTGTAGGACCACTGCATGTGTAGCCTCTGTAGGCTTAGATGGGGCGAGGAGACGTCCAGAACGTGTACAAGAGCATGGATGCTGATAGTGACGGTAAGCTGTCAAAGGAGGAGTTCGTTGCACTGGGGCCGCTATTGGATCCGCCCATGAGCCAGGCCATCGCGTTTTGTGATGCTTTCTCTGCTTTCTGGATAGGGGGCCAAGCGAGGTTTGGGGGGGAGAGCTTGCGAGGCGGATGATTCGGAGGAAGATACAAATAAGAAAAGAGAAGGCGGACGAGGGTGACCAGGAAAAGGAATGAGGAGGAGGGTCAGGATGAGGTGGTAAGAGGTGCTTCCGCCCCGTGCTCTGGTCCCCAGGGGTCCCCAGAGGTTCCTGGAGGCCCTGGCGGCCTCCGGAGGCTTCCAGAGTGTGCGAACAGAGTCTCACCCCCCTGGAGCCTCCGCGGTCCAGGGCAAAACCTGGCAGGACGAGGCTCAGGATGAGGAGCGGGCACCGTTTCCGTTTCTGTTTCTTTCTCGTTTCGTATTCGTTCCCGTGCCACAAGACGCAGCGATCACTCGATCAATGTCCGTGCAACGTCAAACCGTTTCCGTTCCTCTGTCCTTATTTATTTCCTCTCCTTTTGTATGTCTGCATATATATATATATGTATATACATTTTTTTGTTGTTCTCATGTTTTCCCTCATATCTACATGATTGTTGTTATTTATACATATATATATATATGTATAGAATTTTTGTTTCTGTCTCTCTCTCTCTCTCTATATATATATATGTGTGTGTCCCTTCTCTCTCTCTTTGCCTCTCTTCCATCTTCCCTTCAAGGCCTCCTCGGGCGCGTGCGCCTGTGTGCAGCCTGCGGGTCTCACTTGGGTTGTCCGTTGGGAGCTCCCTGTCCGACCTGGGTTTGCGCGGGAGCACCAGCCTCGAGCCGCCTCGAAGGAGGCGCGCCCGACGCACGGGGCGCCCCGTGCGTCCCCAGTGCCTCTATCGCAGAGGCAGTGGGACGACAGGGAGGCAGAGAGAGAGGGGGAGAGAGATGGGGCTGCGGCCAACTTCTTGCCAGGTTTATGTCGGGCGTGTCCCCCTGCAGGGGGATCTTTGACGGACAAAAAAACATACCCCAAAAGTATTCCAAAAAGGTCAAAAAATAGTCCCCAAAAAGTCCCCATATTATTTTTGGATTATTTTTCTGTTATTTTTTGGGGGTATTTTTCATTATTCGTCGAAAATCCCCCTGTACGGGGACAGGCCCGACTTAATGCCGGGCTGCCCCGCCCGGGGGAGGGCGAGCAGGGAGGGCCCTCCCCAAGGGGGGGGCGGCGACGCGGCCGCGCGGCGAGCCGGTGGGGGGCTCCGACGACCCCCGCGCGGTCTCCATCGGCCACGCGCAGAGCCGGGGTATGGCGCGAGGGGAAAACCTCTTGGATCTGGGCGCCCGGAATGGGTACCGAAAGAATGGGTAGAATGCCCAACAGCAGTTCCTGTTCATTTTGAACAGGCCTCGCTGTCCACGCCGCCGCGGCCTGTGTCCATTCGAGACGGGAGGCCGCCTGCCCAACAGCGGCCGCTGTTGGTTTGGGACAACATTTGTTGTTGGGCATTGTACCCATTGTTTCAATACCCATGTCGGGCGTCCAAATCTCAGAGGGCGCGGGCTCTGTCTGTATCAAGCAGTGGCGCAGCGTCCCGGCTCGCCTGTCGCCCCACCAAACAATGTGCTAAGCACCTCTTGTGGTTCCCACGGGCTGTTCTCAGAGCAGTTCTGGCGGAGTCGGCCTTGTTTGAACACAGCGGGCTTATGTTCTAAGAACATTGTTTTTGTTCTTAGAACATTTTTGGGTTCTAAGAACATTTCGTGGTATGATTATAGGAATGCCGAAACGGTCGGTCCCTGCTCAACTATAGATGTGAGGCCGGCGCCTTCTAGGAAGAGGCCTCCTCCCGAGAAGCCTTCCCCCCTCCCCCTGCCACCTCTGTTCGCCGCCAACTTGAGCGTGTTTCTTTGTTGCTTGGGGCATAGTGGGCATGATAGCCCCCGCCCCCCCCCACGCCCCTCCACCCCCCGGGTCCGCTCTGGGCACTGCTGCCGTGCGCATCCGGACCTCCGTCGGCGTCCGCGTAGAAGTCCGCATAGGAGCCTGGTCCGCATTGGGAATCTCATAGGGGATCCGCATAGAAAGGAGAAGGAGGAGGATGAGGATGAGGAGAGTGAGCAGGAAGAGGAGGAGGAGGAGGAAGAGGAGAAAGAGGAGGAATAGGAGGAGGAGGTGGAGGCGGCGGAGGAGGGAGGAGGGAAAACGTCGCATTCTATTATCAGCTTTTCTCTGGCGTGGCGTTTGGCTGTCCGCAGCAGATCCGCACCTACATGCTTGTTCTACCTGTCTTGTGCACGCAGGCGCTGTGGTGTACACCAGCGATGCGTGCGCGCGGATGCTGTGGTGTAGACAGGCGCTGTGGTGTGCACAGGCGCTGCGGCGCACGCTAGCACGGTGGTGTGCACAGGCGCTGTGTTGCACATGGTTGCTGCGGTGTTGCACACTCGCTATGGTGTGCACAGGCGCTGCGTCGCACACGGCTGTTGCGGTGTACGCAGGCACCGTGGTGTACACGCGCGCTGTGGTGCACGCGAGCATTGTGACGTAGACAGGCGCTGAGGTGTGCACAGGCGCTGCGGTGCACGCTAGCTGTGGTGTACACAGGCGCTGTGTTGCACATGTTTGCTGCGGTGTTGCACACTCGCTGTGGTGTACACAGGCGCTGGGTCGCACACGGCTGTTGCGGTGTACGCAGGCACCGTGGTGTACACGCGCGCTGTGGTGCACGCGAGCATTGTGGTGTACACAGGCGCTGTGGGCAAGTCGCCACCTACATGCTGCTCGCTTCGTCGTCGTCGTCGTCGTCGTCGTCGTCGTCGTCGTCGTCGTCGTCGTCGCTCGTCGCTCGTCGCTCGTCGCTCATCGTCGTCGTGCGCGCGGGCGCGGCTGTGGTTCTGGAGCCACACGGCGGGGGAGAGGGCGTTACACTATACCCCCCCCCCGCCCCCCCACCCCCCTACAACGCCCATTATCGTAACGAAAATACAGAAACGCGCTCTTTGAGTCTCGGGTCGGAGGGGGACTGGCGGTGGGGCGGGAAGACGGAGCGGGAGGAGGAAGGATGGGGGGGCATGATGAGTTCGGGGGGAGTAGAAATTGGGGGCCCCCAAGCGGTGTGCTGACCTCACCGCGTGGCGAGTCAGTAGGGATTCGGGGTCACCGCACGGTTTTGGGACTCGGGTCGTTCTCCGATGACGCAACGGACGACTGGGGGGCCTCCGAGGTCCCAGAGGCCGTGCGGTGGCGGACCGCGCGCGGTGAGGTCTCTCTCTGTGCGGGTGCCGAGGCCCCGGCGCGGTCCGGCACTGCACACGGTTTGTTTGGGGCCCCGGGAGGAAGAGCGGCAGGGGAGTGCAGAGGGGGGTAGGGGGGAGGAAGCGGAAGGAGGGGAGGAGGAGGGAGGAGGAGCAGCAGGGGGAGGAGGAGGAGGAGGAGGAGGAGGAGGAGGATGAGGTCCTTTCGGTACGGGTGGGACCTCTTGTGGCGTGGGAGCAGCGAGGAGTCAGGCTGCGGGACCCCCGGCGTGATGCCGGCGCGGGGGGTTATCCATACACGTGGCCTTTGGGACCGATCTTGGGGGATCTTGGCATTTTTTTCCATTTTCCTTTTCCTAGTTTTTAATGTATGTACATGCATTGATATATATTTGTATATGTATATATATACATATATATATATATTATTCTATATATGAAAAGATGTACCGATTATTCAAGAGGCTTGCGCCATTCAGCCGACTCCCAGAAGAGGCATGGAGTCCACGCTTGATGCGTCGTGGGCTTCTTGGTCACTATGTGGGGATTCTTGTGGGCGGCATGGGAGCTCATGGGAGCTCTTCGGGTGCAAACTGTGGATACATCGATGATTCGGGCTCTCGGGCACTGGCGGGGGTGGGGTAAGCATATCCACATCCGCCCGCCTGCCCAGATCCCCGAAGATCGATGTCCCTGGGCTGGGATTCCAGACGATTCCCCGCCTCGCAATGATTTCTTCGCAGCAGACAGACAGAGCCTGTGCTCAACATAGGTGCGTTGGCAGAATTGGTAAAGCAGAGACGATTGGATGAAGCGGCGGGCGTGCTAAGCATTGAAGCAGGGGGGATGACGATGATGATGATGATGATGATGATGATGATGATGATGATGATGATGATGATGATGATGATGATGATGATGATGATGATGATGATGACGATGATGATGATGGTGGTGGTGGTGGTGGTGGTGGTGGTGGTGATGATGATGATGATGCTGCTGATGATGATGCTGATGCTGATGATGCTGCTGATGATGCTGAGTATGATGATGATTCTGATGATGCTGATGAGGATGATGATGATGATGATAATGGTGGTGATGATGATGATGCTGATGCTGGTGCTGAAGCTGATGCTGAGAATGATGATGCTGATGATAGTGATGATGATGATGCTGATGCTGATGCTGATGCTGATGCTGATGCTGCTGATGATGATGATGATGATGATGATGATGGGGTGGAGGAAGGGGACGGAGAGGAGGCATAGAGGCGTCATATATATGTATATAGAAGGTATACTGCTTGGCGGAGTATTGCTACGCAACGCCTTCCTGTCGCAGAACCCCAGAGGTCACCCGCAGGGCGCGGATGTGATCAAGCCTCACGCGTCGCAGGCTGGGCCATGGCGAGTGTCGTTCTCCAGTGGGGCTGCGTGAGGGCGCGAAGATCTACCGCGTCGCGCCTCGCGGGGCGTGGTGCGCGAAATCTGGTGACCTATGACCCCGAAGCCTCGACCCCACACGGTAGGTTTGCGTCGTGTTGACCGGCGGCGAAGCCGCGACCAGGGCGTCCAAGGTGAACGCCGCCAGTGGCTCAGAGTCGGCCTGTATGAAACGATCGAGCGATCGAAAGGCAGCCGATCATTCAAGGTTGAACGATCCACGCGGTGTCAGAAGCCAACGCCAGGGTCGTCACGACACGAGCCTGCCGTACCTGGAACCAGCTATGCGTGCTGGGCTGCTTTTCGACGGCCCCTGTCCTGGTAATGGCCGTCAGCGCTCTGGCCAGACTTCCGAGGCGGATCCAGCCGTGGCGACGAGGAGGCCCAGAACCGGCCAAACCAACTGACCATCCCCACTCACTACATGTAGCGACCGGGGGGCTCTGGCCTTTCTGTAGGTCCCGAGAGACACTGAGTTTCATTGATCTTTCGGCGGGCCATTGGGGCGCCAGGGTCAGTAGTGGGGTAGTGTGGGTTGTCGGGGGGGAGCCTGGCAGGGAAAAAGCTCCCACCCCAGCGGCGTCCCTTCCAGTCCCCCTTTTCTGGATCCGCCGGTGAGCCCCCGCCCTTACCTCCTCCTCCTCCTCCTCTTCCTCCTCCTCCTCCTTTCAGCAACTCAGAACTTGCGGTCCTGGTCCTCGCGCACTGAGGAGACCTGGGAAAACCTCACGCACCCCCCAGGAGCCAAGCTTTGAGGCCAGGTGGGAGCCTGCACCTCCTTCTCCTCCTCCTCCTCCTCCTCCTCCTCCTCCTCCTCGCCCGCCGAGTGGAGATGCGATGCAGCGGAGGGTGCTGCGTGGACCCCCCCCCCTCGGACAGTGGCGTGGAGAGGCCCCGCGCCGCGCCCTCTCCGCCGCGCCGCGCGGGGCCCCCTGCGGTCAGGCCGCCCGCGCGCGGCCTCGACCGTCCGAGCGAGTCCTCGGCGAGCCCTCCTCGCAGGGCAGCATGCTGCCGCTCTTCTCGGAGGCGGACGCCGACGGCGACGGCTTCGTGTCGCCGGAGGAGCTGCCCGGCCCCGCGGCGGCCGGCGCCGAGGGCGACGAGGCACCCCCGCGCACGCGCCTCGGGGAGAGGAGCGCCCCAGCCAGGGATGGCGAGGAGGAGGATGAGACGGAGGTGGAGGAAAAGGAGGATAATCACGACGACGACGACGACGACGACGACGACGTGGACGTGGACGAGGACGATGACGAGGACGAGGACGAGGAGGAGGACGAGAAAGAGAAGGATTCGAATGCCCACTCGGGGAGAGTGCACAGCACTTAACACTGAGCTCAGGCTCAGGCGCGCGCGCCGCCGCGGCCGCGGCGCGCCGCGGGCCGCGGGGCGCTCACGGCGCGGGCGGGCCCCCCCGCAAGCGGGCGGCATGGGAATGGCAAGCCAGCTCCCCCGACCTGTTTTGCCGGCCGGAAACGCCCGACCACCGACAGAACGGGCAGGGGCCAGGCAACACCAAACCCCCGCCACCCACCCCAGGGGCCCGCCACGACACGACAGACGCGACAGCGACGGCGACGACACGACGGAGAGGAGACGGACCCCCTGGCACACGACTCCCAAGGGGGAGACCTGGCTGGGAAGCCAGGCTCCCGTAGGAGACTGCGTGGCCGGGGGCCTCCTGGGAAGGGGACCCCGCTTTTGGGGCCATCCCAGGTGCGGGGGCTTGTGCCCCGAAGGCCCAGCGGTACAGGAGGAGCTTGGGAGGAGGAGGAGACATAGTAGGAGGAATGGTGATGATGATGATGATGATGATGATGATGATGATGATGATGATGATGATGATGATGATGATGATGATGATGATGATGATGCTGATGATGATGATGATGATGATGATGATGATGATGATGATGATGGTGATGATGATGATGGTGATGATGATGACGATGATGATGATGGTGATGAGGATGATGATGCAGATGCTGCTGCTGCTGATGATGATGACGATAATGAGTATGATAATACGGATGATGATGTTGATGATGCTGGTGATTATGATGATGATGATGTGTATACTCATGATACGGATGATGCTATGATGGTGATGACCTTGATGATGCTACCAATGATGACGATGATGATGCTGATGCTCCGGATGACGATGATCCTCAGGTCCGTCGCAAAACGCACCCGACATGATATGTGCACAACCGCGTCCAGTCAAATATTGGGTCGTCACCCAGTACGCCCCTCTCTTCACACTTCGGAGGTAGGGAAGGAGGGTCAGAGAGATGCGGAAGAGGATGCGGAAGAGGCTGAGGTGCAACAGACGGAATAGCGATATGAGGACGATGAGGACGGAGGATGGAGGAGGGGTGAGGAGGAGGGTCACGGGTTACGGGTCGAGGGAGGTGGGATCGGGGACGGGACGGATGATGTTGTTGCTACTTCTGTTGTTGATGATGATGATGATGATGTTGATGCTGATGTTGCTGCTGATGATTATGACGATGATGATGCTGATGATTCTGATGATGATGCCGATGTTGATGCTGACGCTGATGATGCTGCTGATGATGCTGATGGTATTAGTGCTGATGAAGCTGATGGTGATGGTGATGATGATGCTGATGGTGTTGATGATGATGCCAATGGTGGTGTTGATGACTATGAAAACCATCATGATGATGCTGATGATGATGATGATGAATCTGATGGTAGTGATGATGCTAATGATGATGCTGATCGTCATGCTGATGTTGATGATGATGCTGAAACTGTTCATGATTAGGATGCTGATGCTGATGCGGATATGGTTAATTATGATGATGCTGCTTACGATGCTGACGATGGTGATGGTGATGCTGATGATGGTGATGATGATGCTGATGACGTTGATGGTGGTGACGATGTCGATAGCAATGCTGATGCTGCTGATGATGATGCTGATGATGCTGATGATGCTGATGATGCTGATGCTGACGATGCTGATGATGCTGCTGCTGCTGGTGATGATGATGATGATGATGATGCTAATAATAATGCTGATGATGATGCTGATGCGGATGATGATGCTGACGCTGCTGATGTTGATGCTGATTATGAAGGTGATGTTGATGCTGATTCTGCTGGTGATGCTGATTCTGATGATGATGATGATGCTGCTGATGCTGATGATGCTGGTGCTGATGCTGCTGTTGCTGATTATGAACGTGATGCTGCTGCTGCTGATGATGATGTTGCTGATGATGATTATGATGATGATGCTGATGATGACGATTACGATGTCGATGTCGATGATGATGATGATGATGATGATGGTGGTGATGATGATGATGATGATGATGATGATGATGCTGATGATGATGATGATGATGATGATGATGATGCTGATACTGATGATGATGCTGATGCTGATCAGGATTCTGATGATGATGCTACTGCTCATAATAATAGTCATGCTGCTGATGACTATCCCAGTGCGACCCTACTTAGGAGTCGGAGCATCTAGGAAAGCAACATCTACATATACACCGACAGCTACATCAACATCTACACGTGCATCTACATCTACATCAACATCAACAGCGGGACTCACATCTACATCCACATCTACACCTACATCTACACCTGCATCTACATCTACATCTACAGCTAAGCTATGCTATGCAATGCTGCGCTATGCTTTGCTCTGCTAATGCTAATGCTGCACTGAGCTAATCTGAGCTAAGCTAAGCTAAGCTAAGCTAGGCTAGGCTAGGCTAGGCCAAGCTAAGCTAAGTTAGGCTAAGCTAAGCTAGGCTAGGCTAAGCTACGCTAAGCAAAGCTAAGCTACGCTAAGCGTTCAGCTAGGCAAAGCTAAGATGAGATAAGCAAGGCTAAGCTAAGGGGACGTACCTGGGGTACCGCGGGGCGGATCCTGGGGGAAACGCCCGGGGTGAGCCCCACTGCCAGGCCCCTTTACGCTCAGTGGGTAAGAACCCTTCTGGGCAGAGCCTAGGGAAGGAATGATGTTGATGATGGTGATGATGATGATGCTGATGCTGCTGATGACGATGATGATGATGATGACGATGATGATGATGCTGATGGTGATGATGATGATGATGATGATGATGATGACGATGGTGGTGACGATGCTGTGATGCCGCATCTGCTGTTGCGTCTGCAGATGATGATGACGGTGGTGATGATGGTGATGATGATGACGATGGTGGTGATGATGATGCTGCTCATCATGCTGATGCTGATGCTGCCGATGATGATGCTAATTACGATACTTATGAACCTGCTGCTGATGATGATGATGTTGATTATGATGATGACGGTGGTGATGATACTGATGATGATGATGCTGATGATGATGATGATGATGATGATGATGATGATGATGATGATGCTGCTGATGATGATGATGATGATGATGATGATGATGATGATGCTGATGATGATGATGGTGGTGATGATGATGCTGATGATGCTGATGCTGCTGCTGATGATGATGATGGTGATGTTGATGACGATGACGATGATGTTGATGATGATGATGCTGACGCTGCTGACGATGACAATGACGATGATGCTGATGATGATGATGATGATGATGATGATGCTGATGATGATGATGATGATGATGATGATGATGCTGATGATGATGATGGTGATGCTGCTGATGATGATGATGATGATGATGATGATGATGATGGTGATGGTGATGATGATGCTGATGATGACGATGATGGTGGTGGTGGTGGTGGTGATGGTGGTGGTGGTGGTGGTGATGATGATGATGATGATGATGATGATGATGATGATGATGATGGTGGTGGTGGTGGTGATGATGATGATGAGGAGGAGGAGCCGGAGGCGGGGGAGTAGGATGAGGATGAGGGTGAGGATGAGGATGAAGACGAGGACGAGGACGAGGACGAGGACGAGGAGGATGAGGAGGAGGAGAAGGAGGATGAGGATGAGGATGAGAACGAGGAGGAGGAGGAGGAGGAGGAGGAGGAGGAGGAGGAGGAGGAGGAGGAGGAGGAGGAGGAGGGGGTATTATGATGATGAGGAGGAGGAGGAGGCGAAGGAGGAGGAAGAGGAGGAGCAGGAGGAGGAGGAACCGGAGGAACGAGTAGGAAATGGACGAGGAGGACGAGGCAGAGGACCAGAGCAGTGGATCGCAGACGGGCGCCTCTCCTGGATGCGCTCGTGCACCGTCCGAGCCCCGCACGGCGCCCCCGCCCCCCGCAGGCCGACGAGGCCAGCGACGACGGGCCGCGGTTGGCCGATCGGGAGCTTGCCGCGTACCGACGCGTGCCGGCCATCGCGTCGGGCGCGGCCGCACCGCCTCTGCCCGCCTTGCCTGCCTTGCCTCGCCTGCCTCGCCGCCGCTTCCCTCCTCCCGCGCCCTTCTCGCCGCCTCCTCGCCTGACTCGCCGCCTCCTCTCTCCTTCCGCAGCTCCTCCCTCCTCCTCCTCCTCCTCCTCCTCCTCCTCCTCCTCTCCTCCTCCTCCTCCCTCCTACTTCTCCTTCTCCTCCTCCTCCTCCTCCTCCTCCTCCTCCTCCTCCTCCCTGCTCCCGCTGGCCCTCCCTCCTCCTCGCCTGCCTTTTTCTCTCCTCCCGCAGCTCCTCCTTCCTACTCCTCCTGTCCGTACGGCGATCGGCCTCTACAGGTGGCGTTCCTTTCGTGCCCTCGGGTCAGTTTGGCGGGCAGGCGCGAGGGCCTCAAGTTGCTCGTGCGATTCGGGCAGACAACCTTTTCTTTTTTCGTTGATATGACGTCGGCATTGGTCTCATTCCATTCCATTCCTCGTCCCTGTCCTGCAGAGCCTACAGGGCTGCGGACGGTTGTCCTCCATCCTCAGGAGCGAAGCCCACGACCACTCCCACCTGGCTTGCCGGTGAGAGGCTAAAGAAAAACCAAGGGGGAGGAGAGCGAATGATGGAATTACCGAACGTCGGACTGGATGGATAGGACATAGTGGGGGCACCACCTCCTCCTCTTCCTCCTCCTCCTCCTCCTCCTCCTCCTCCTCTCTTCTCCTTCTCAGCACGTGACGACCAGCGGCGAGTACGCCGACCAGGACAGGACATTACCCCTCTCTTCTGCCCCACACCTCCGTGTCTCGCTCAGCACAGCGAATCACACGTCCCAGAGGCCACGGCCTCTTCCACCCGGTCTTGGCTCGGCACAGCCGCCTGTCCGCATTGCTGGTTGCTGGCTCGCTCGCTCGCTCGCTCGCTCGATCCTCCCTCCTCCCTCCTCCTGCTCCTCCTTCTCCTCCTCCTCCTCCTCCTCCTCCTCCTCCTCCTCGTCCTCGTCCTCTCTCATTTTTCCTCCCCTCCACTCTCCCCTCCCGTTTTCCCGTCCCCTTCCCTCTCCCCATCCCTTCTCCGTGTCCTGTTGTTGTTCCTCCTTACATATTTTGCTTGCATTCCCTCTCTCTATCACCCTCGTAGTTCTGTTGTTGTGGTCTCTCTCTCTGTCTCTGCTTCTCTCGCTACCTGCATGCTCCTCATCTCTCCGTCTCCCTCCTGTCTCCCCTTCACCCCTGTCGCCCTACCTTCTTGCTCCTTCCTCCTCCCTCCCTTCGGTTCAACCTTCAGAGGGGCTACGTTCGACTCCTGCGAAGACTTCGCAGAGGGGGGGGGGTCATGAGGCCGCTGGGCTGATCCACGAGAGGGTGATGCCATTCTGCCGGGAGCCTTCTCCGTGGGGTCCTGCCTGCCTTCTTCCTGTCCCCCCCGCTCCAGTCTCCTCGTCCTCGTCACCCTTACGATGCCACTCCCGGGAGGTCAAGTGTCAAGTGCAGCATCGACGCTGCAGCATACCACCACCTTACAGGGGCGCGCCGATACTTGTCAGCGCCGCATGGCCTGCCTTCTGGTGCGGGTGCCGCGGCAAGCTGGCGAAGAAGCGTGACGGCCTACTCCCGCCGCAGAGCCCGGGAAGCCGAGGATCTCTGGCGAGAGCACCTCGATGGGCCGCGACAAATCGTCGCTCTTTGGCGGCGCAGCTCCCACACTGGCAAGGCGAGCGCGGGCTTCCAGACCGGAGGACGCAGCTGAGCAGCTACAGCGTTCATGCCGGACGCACGGATACGAGATTGGCGGCCCGTCGTCCACGACAGCGGTGGCACGATGGGGCCAGCTTTCCTCTCGAGCGCGTGCTGCCCGGCTCGCACGCTGAGTTTTCTCCTCTCTAGTCACCTTTCCTCCCTCTTGCGCGGGCATGAAGTTCTTCAGTGTTGCAAGCGCTGCAGCGGGCAGCGCGCCTGGTTGGCACTTTTCGTCGCGCAGTGTGTTTTTGCGCAAGATGCTTGCGGTGTTAACTCGCCTTGTGATTCTGATGATGTGCATCCGTGGCCGAGAACTGACCTACTCGGTATGCTCCCGTTTCATTCCGCTCAGAATCCGATTTGATTTGGATGAGTCTGGCCTGATCCTCGGCCTGGTCCACCTTGTTCGGGCTCAGTGGCCTCTTACTTGGGCTCACTTCCTAGAAGTTGCCACCTACTTCCTTCTCCACCCTCCCCCCCCGAGAGCCTGCACCACAACGCTTGAGCGAGATGAGCACTATGTAGGGAGGAGGAGGTGGAGGTGGAGGAGGAGGAGGAGGAGGAGGAGGAGGAGGAGGAGGAGGAGGAGGAGGAGGAGGGGGAGGGAGAGGCAAGGAGAGAGGCGAGAGGGAGGGGAGGAGGAGGAGGAGAGGGAGGAGGAGGAGGAGGAGGAGGAGGAGGAGGAGGAGGAGGAGATGGAGGAGGAGAGGGGAAGGGAGGAGGAGGAAGAGGAGGAGGAGAGGGAGGGAGGGAGGGAGGGAGGGAGGGAGGGAGGGAGCGAGGGAGGGAGGGAGGGAGGGAGGGAGGGCATCGGCATCGGCATCGGCATCGGCATCGGCATCGGCACCGTTTGGTATCTGTGAGAAGCGGTGCGCTGCCGGTTCGGGAGGCCGATGGAGCCCACTGCCCGTTTGAAAGGCAGGGTGGGCGAACGTTTTTTTTCCTCGAGTCGGACGGGCCCCGCTTGAGGAGGCCAAGGCCTGGCGACGGGCTGAGGCCAAGCGCAGCTCTGCGTCGCTGCCCCTCCGCGCGTCCCCTTCTGAGTTCACAGTCTCAAGTTGGGAGGAGGACGAGGATGAGGATGATGGTGCTGACGCTGCTGATGATCATGACCCGCGTGTGCCCCTCTGAGTGCACAGTCTCCAGTTAGGATGATGAGGATGATGAGGCTGCTGCTGCTGCTGCTGATGTTATCATCATCGTCAACATCAGCAGCATCATCATCCTCATCCTAACTTGATGATGACAATGATGATGACGATGAGGAGGAGGCGGAGGAAGAGGAGGAGGAGGAGAAGGAGGAGGAGGAGGAGGAGGAGGAGGAGGAGGAGGAGGAGGAGGAGGCGGAGGAGGAGGAGGCGGAGGAGGAGGAGGAGGAGGAGGGAGGAGGGCGGAGGAGGAGGGCGGAGGAGGCGGGGGGACGAGGGCGGAGGAGGGCGGCGGAGGCGGAGGAGGCGGAGGGACGAGGGCGAGCTCTCCTCGTCCCCTTACGCCGCCCGGGGACGCCTCGGCACGCGGACGGGTCTCGCCCGAGAGGGGGCGCCCCGGGGGCGGGCGCCGCAGCGGCGGCCTCCCGGCCCGCCCGCAGGCACGGCGGAGCTGGTCCTCACGCTGCGGCCAGACGTGAAGGCCTCTGCCCCGTGCCAGGGCTGGACCCCAGCGGTGTTTTTGCGATTTCGTGGGCCGTTTTTGTTTCGACTTCGTTTTGCGGCAAAGGCGGATTGAAGACGACACGAAGGAATCCGAGAACAAAACGAAAACGAAAAACACCGTTTAGGTTCAGCCCTGCCCCGTGCGCAGAGCCGCGGAGGAGATCGGAGGAGGGGCAGTCAGGGGCAACGGTAGGGTGGGATAGGCATAAAGAGGGGGATGCATCGACCCCCAATCGCCCATCGATCGCCGATAGGGGCCCTATTGCCCCAACCTGCCCAGGAAGGTGCGGATTCACTATCAGGGACCTATCGCCGATGTATCATTCCAGGTCGATGCATCCCCCCATATGCCAGTTCCCCCCCTATCGTTGCCCCTCAGACAGGTACCCATGTCAAGCAGTGGCGAAGCGTCCTGGTTCGCCGATGGGCCTACCAAATAATGTTATCATAACTTTTTTTGTGGTCTCCACGAAATGTTCTTAGACCATTTCTGGCTGGGGCCGTCTTGTATTAACACATCGGGCTTACGTTCTAAGAACGTTGTCATTGTTCTTAGAACCTTTCATGGGTTCTAAGAGCATTCCGTGGTAGGCCTATAAAAATGCCGGGACGGTCGGTCCCTGCTCAACCATGTCTCTACCCTTCCCTCGTTTGCCCCTCATGGGCCTTCTGGGCGGCCCTCATCGCCACCGCTGGATTCGCCTCGAAATTCTGGTCAGGTCGCACCACGGGAGAGGTCCAGGGATTAGCAGTATCGGTACCTTTTGGTATCCGCAGGAGTGGGGATGAGAGAGGAGAGTCGGAGGAGGAACATGTACCGACACTGCTACCCGTCGGTCGTTGAAAGTAGGTGCTTTTGGACTCCGAGATCCCAATCTACTTTGGGCGCCTTCCTACTTCAAAAGTCGAGTGATTGTCCCTCTTCCCTCCTCTTCAGGTGACTGGCGGGATCCCAATTTACTTCAACGCCTTCCTACTTCATGTGTTTCCCAACCATCCTGTGGTGTTGGGTCCTCGTTTCGAAGAGACAGCGACCCGCGTTCTCCCTCCTCCTTCTCCTCCTCCCGCTCGCACACCCCTCACACGCTTCGTGGCCACATAGGGAGCCCCACCGACGGCCCAAATGCCAGCAGTCGCATGCGGCCACCGCACCCACTTCGGCAAACACCTCACATGTTTCGTGGCTCCATACGGAGCCCGACCGAAGGCCCAAATGCCAGTGTCCTGTGCTCCTGCTGATGGCGCTTTGCCGTGCCTATCGTCTTGGGGGGCGGGTGCAGTTCGAACGGCGCGATCGCTGCAGGCTGCAGCTGCGCGCTGGGGCTGGCCAAGCTCGCGGTCCGGGGCAGATGCGGAGGTATCCCTCGGTGCGTGCGCAGTCCCTCGTGGATGACCAGCTCCTGCAAACGCTTGGCGCTGCGCGCGTGGGGGGGGGGGCCCACTTTCCAGCGGCGCTTCGCTTTCTGGTCGACGGGCCCACGGGGAGGATGCGGCAGGTGAACTGGGACAAGACGGGCTGGCTTGCGGGCGACCAGGGGCTGGCCAGCATCCTTGCCGAGGCCTGGGAGGGGGAGCTGGAGCGCGCCAGAGGCCTCCGCTGTCTCGGGGGTGACGGATCACCAAGAGCGCTTCGCAGTGTGGTCGAGCAAAACAACCGTCATTTGACGGCCCAGAAGTCGGCTGAGAGGGTTCACGTGTTGAGAGCTACGGGCGCTTCAGTGAAGAAGATCTTTCGGTGTTCGCCGTCGGCCGCGGCCGTCTGGGGCTCCGTGGTGACAGGTATCGCTCGCTGATGGCAAGCTCAACGGGCTTAGGTTCGCTGCATTCAGGTCTGAAGGACGGCCCCCAGCTGGGGCCAGCACGGGTCTGGGGATCAAATCCATGCACCGTGGTTTCTGGAGGGGGCTCCATTTTTTCTACGGAGGAGAATTTGTGCATGCGTGGACTGCCAGCCTGGAGACATTTCTGCCGCTTGATAGGGGCCCTGGAGGCTGTGCTCGAGTGAGGGGCGCTCGATTCTCAGGCAGAAGTCTCCTTGGGGCAAATGCCCTAACCCTGCGCATGCCCTCCTCCTGGCCTTTGCGAGAGTTGGAGGGCGCATGGCCTCTGCCGCCAAGCGCGTTGGCCCCGAGGGCGAGGTGGATTTGGAGTTGTTCTCCCCAGGTCGCGCTGTCGAGGCGGCCGCGCGCGTGGACCCGGAAACCTCGGACATTCTTGCCAAGGGGCAGTTGGGGCGGTGGGTTTCGGAGATCCGCTGGATGCCCCCGGGCAAAGTCTTGCATGGGTAGGCCGACAGGGGATTGTCGAGGCATGGGCGCAACCTTGCCCGCGGCCTTGTCTCGGGAACCCACTGGCCTTTGGCGAGGCTTGCCAAGCGCCAAGCATCTGTGCGGCTGCAGAGGTGCGTTGCTTCATCGCGGGATTGATTGTTCCTTCTCAGCGGAGCTGTGTAGGACGGGCCCCCCCTGGCCTTCTACAAGCCGCCGAGAGGATGGCCAGTCTCGGGGAAGATGAAGCAGAGGTCTTGGCCAAGTGTTTGCCCCCCTCCCCCGAGCTCTGCTTCGGCGAGCCTGGGGCCCCGGAGGAGAGCTGGGTCAGGGTTTTTGGGGCGGCGCCCGGGTGGCGCTGGGGAGGGCCCCTGTTCGTGGACAGGTCAGCCGTCCACGCGGAATTCGGAGCGTGTTGGAGGGTTGGCTGGGCCGCGGTCCAGATCGAGAAGGCTGGGTAGTTTGTTGCTCGCATGTGTGGTGTGGTGCCTCGGGGTTGGGGGCCTGGCCAGTGGGCGCGGGGCGGGGAAGACTTCGCGTTTCATTTGCTGGCCAGGCTTAGTGAGCCACCGAGTACAGGAGATGAAGCTGTGCCGCTCGAAGTTTTCAGTGAATGTGCTGGGTCTGTTGCGCGTGCTACCTTGTCGCCCGCTGCCCTCAGCCCTGACGGCAGCTGCCATCGCATGGGGGAGCTGTAGTGGTCCAAAGTTGGCGAAGGTGGCGAACGTCGGAGCGCACCGAGGAATCCAGGAAACCGCGTCTCTGGAGAACCTACGGGCGCTCCAAGGCAACCGCGTTGCAGACGAGTGGACCCGCGAAGACGCCAAGCTTTGGAATCTAGATGAAGAGCAGGAGCGCGTTGTCCAGGTCTGCGAGCGGCGTGCGGCTCACATCGCCGAGTGGCTCGGCCGCCTCCGCAGCCAGAGGCACGATCGCAGCTTCTGAGGCTCGGAGGGGGTTGGTGGGACCGCGGAGGTTGTTCCTGGCTTGCCTGAGCAGGTCCTTCCTGACACTACTGACCTTTCGAAGCGCAGCTGGAGCTGCAGCTGCGGCTCGGCTCGCTGTGGTTATGCTCCTATCGGCTCCTCCTTTGGCTCCTCGGCTTCTCCTCCTGACTCTGTGCCCTACTTCTCGGGGCTCGCGCGGATCAGTTGTCATACCTTGAAGTTTTCTAGGCATAACATTGTGCAGGCCGCTGTTGTCGGAGGTGAGTCACGGGTTCCTGTCCCGTTCTGCATCTCGTGCGGCGCGAGTGTTCGGCGCGGCCGCAGGCCTGGAAAAGGCCCTGCGGGGCCATGTTTTGGGCCGAAGCGCGGAGGGCTCGCCACCCATAGGTGCAGGCTTCGGCGAGGCTCGCACCCGACTTCTACTTCCTCACCCCCCCCCACTGCCCGGTGCCCCCCACTGCCCGGAGGTCCGTGCTATGTGGGAGAGTCGGTTGGTTGTCTCAGAGCCCTTGGAGAGGAGCGTTGGCCCTTCTCCTGTGCACGGGCCGAGGGTTTCGACATGCATCGTAGGGGCAGTTGCACGGCTCTGTTGACCAGCGAGGTGTGGTTGAGGTTTGCCATGCCGAGAGGCGCCTCGAACATGAGGCCCGACTCCTATTTGGACGGAATGATGAGCCCGAGGAGCCTGTCTGCTAAGTAGTCGTTGCGCTGGATGCGAAGGAACTGTTTCTCCAAGGCCCCAATCGCCAAATCGCCCAATCGCCTCTCTCCTCTCCTCTCCTCCTCCTCCTCCTCCTCCTCATCATCATCATCATCATCATCATCATCATCCTTCCTTACAGGTCCACCGCGTATGCTTCCATGATCCTTGTCTCCCTCTACTCTATCATGTCCCTCCTCCGTTCTGCCCCCGTGCCCCCTCCCACCTCAATGATCCCACTACTCTCTCCTCCGGTCCCCTCATCCTTGCTTGTTCCTTATCCTCGTCGCCGTCGTCCTCGTTGTCGTTGACTCTCATCCTCCTCCCTCCTCCCCACATCCTCCCCCCGCCCCCCTCACGTGCAGCTCATCCCAACCCGATTAATCTCTTCGACGTTTGTCCTGATTATCGTAGGTCACTTTTGCTGCCGCCCTCCTTTTTCCTCCTCCTTCTCCTCCTCCTCGACCTTCTCTTCCTTCCCCTCTGCTTCCTCCTGGTCCTCCTCCTTTGGATGCCGAGTGTTCGTTGGTTCGTGAGAGTGGTTTGCCGAAGAAAAGAAGGTTTTTTCGAGGTGTCGCCACCTCCTGCACCTTCTGATTGCCGACAGTTTGCAACCAATCAGTCGCTCGATGACTCAGACAAACGTTGTAAAGTGTGCTGTAGTTCTGCTACTTTAGCCACCAAGTTCCAATGGGTTTTCTCCTCGTGTTTTTTACATGTCTTTGTGGATGGCCGTTTTGCCGCGTTGCCGTCGGGGGTGAAATGACATGTAGGGGGGGGGGGGGGGCTGGGTACACAGCAGTCACTCTATGCTTTTGCATCGTTTCATGGGCCTCTGATTTTGCTCACAGTGCGGGTATTATGGCAGTACGAATGCGAATCGATCTGTTTATTCGAATCGGATCGAGCCCGATCGTTGGCCGAAGGCTCTAAGCAAGGCCGAGAAGCTAGCTCGCAAGCGTCCGTGGGCGTCGTTTCGACTCGCACCGCGACTGTTCTCACTCACTCCTGGTCCTCCTCCTCCTCCTCCTCCGTTCTTCCCTCATCCCTGTCGCCCGCCATCCGTTCCTAAGCGGGTCAGGTCCCCCGGCCAAGCGAGCTGAGCAAGGACGTCGGGGAAGCATTCCAGGCGGCCGCCCGGCGGCACGTGAGGAGGACGAGGGGGACCTGGAGGCTGATGGGGCCTGGATGAAGAGGATGACGATGGTCAGGACAACGATGGATTTGTTGATGCGGGTTGTCAAGACTCCTACTGGTGTCGGAGGATGAGGATGGCGTTGGAATATGAGGAGGAGGATGGGGCATGACGATGTTGATGATCGCGGTGATGGTGATGATGGTGATGATGGCGATGACGGTGATGATAGTGTTGATGGTGATGATGATGCTGATCGTGATGATGATGCTGATACTAATGATGATGCTGATGATCATCATGATGATGCTGCTGATGCTGATGATGATGGTGATGATGATGATAATGCTGATGCTGATGATGATGATGATGATGATGATGATGATGATGCTGATGATGGCATGGCGGTAGTGGTGGTGACTATGATGATCATTGCGATGATGCTGGTGAGGATGTTCACGAGGCGAGAGCGGGTGGTGACATAATGACCATTTGAGAACTATACATCAGGAAGCGGTGCAGGAACATAGGGACGAATCAAGGAGCGCGATGCATGAGTTTGTTGAGTGCGGTGAGGGATGTGGGAGAGAAGAAGAAGACGGACGGGGGATAATTAGACGGATCTAGGATCCAAGTATATGTGTCAGGATACGCCGATGTACTGATGGGCGGAAGCCGTTGGTTCTATATGTACACACCAGTATGGATTATGTATGTATGTATGCGTGTATGTCTGTCTGTCTGTCTGTCTGTCTGTCTGTCTGTCTGTCTGTCTGTCTGTCTGTCTGTATATATGTATGTATGCATGTATGTATGTATGTATGTATGTATGTATGTATGTATATATGTATACATGTGTGTGTATGTGTGTATGTATGTATGTATGTATGCATGCATGCATGCATACATGTATGTATGCATGCATGCATGTATGTATGTATGTATGTATATATATATATATGTATGTATGTATGCATGCATGCATGCATGCATGCATGTATGCATGTATGTATGTATGTATGTATGTATGTATGTATGTATATATGTATGTATGTATGTATGTATGTATGTATTTGTACATATGTATGTATGTGCATATGTACAGATACAGAAAGATCTTGTCTTCCGCACCATGGCCGACTGCCTCCACCCTTGTGGGGGGGGGGCAGGAAGAGGGGCCCCTGGTTCTGCTGCCCCCTCACCTGAACGGCCCCGCGGCCGACCTAGTTCGAGATGTCCCGTAGCTGAACTGACACGTGTACGATATGTTCGCGTCGTGTCGACTGGCGGCGACCCCGCCGCCGGCGTTCAATGTTGAACGCTGCCGGCGACCCAGCATCGGTCGATGCTGAACGATCTGTCGGTTCAGAAACCGGCGATCGTTCAAGGTTGAAAGATCCCCGCGGTGTCAGAGACCAACGCCGAAGTCGGAACGACACGAACCCGGCGCCGTACGTAGATCCTAGACCAGGGCATAAGCAGGGTTCAACGAGCTCGAGCATACGCAGTACAGCACGTTGTGGCGCTAATTCGAACGTTTTTTTTGAGGCAACATGCCTGCCCGTTGCCAAGTGCCTGCCCGTTGTGCCTCCGTTCGCTCGCCTTCCCCTCGGGGCCCCTGGTGCTCGGCTTGCCCTCTTCCTTGGCTCCCTCCCATCTCCATCGTCGTTGTCATGGCGCCAACATCGCAGAGCGGATTGCGTGCGGAAAACAATGGGATTGGCCCAGATTGTCCTGGTGATTGTTGTTCCGGATTTCGAAGTGAATTTCGTGCGGATTCTTGTCGGCCAGAAGTGCAGGCTACAAAGCATCCACGTGACATTTCTCCGTTTTTTCCGCTCGTTTTCCGCTCGCCGGTTCGGGATTCTGCGTTGAGAGAAACCCACGTGAACATCCGCTGCAGCACGTCTGCAAGTTCGGTGCAATGATCGATGACACAACGCCGATGTTGGAAGAGAACACGCCGATGTTGCATCGGGCTGCGCTGGTAGGAGGGCGCCTGCCACTTGGGGGCCCGGATCGACCGGCTGGGGTGCAGAGTGGGAGGGTTTAGGGCACTCCCGCTCTCTCTGTCCTTCTCTCGCGCGGCTGGGCGAGTGGCTGAAGTTGGGCTCCGCGGTGCGGGCTGCTGTTGCGTCGTTGTCGTCGTCCGCGCCCGCGAGCCACCCCGCGACCCACCCGCGACCCACCGCCTCACTATACTCCGCCAACGCGGGGTGCGATTTCCTTTTTGCGATGTACTTGTGCTGCAGTGAACGCGCCTAGCCAGGACGCGCGCCTTCATCTAGGGTGTCCTCGTGTTCTTGCCTCTGCGGCCCGCGGTTTCATTCGCCCCTCCCTGTATTGGGGTACCCTCGCGTCCCTGGCTGGGGTTTCTGTCGCCCGCCGCCTCAAAAGTCCCAATTTCGGCGTCCTCTGACTGTACATCCAGGAGGAGAATCAACCCACAGACACAATTCATCGTCGAGTCCCAGGGAAATATCGGAAAGTGTGGGAAGGGGGGGGGGGAAGACGAAAACCCCGACAATCTGGGAAAATATGGGGCATCTTTTATTTGCGTGGATTTGTTTGTGTGTCCTGGGGCCCCTTCATATATGCTCGGCTCGGACGTGTGCCTCCCAGGGGGCGCGTAGGTTGCTGGCATGTCCTCTCGCGTCCCACTCGATCCTGCCCCTCCTCCTCTTCCTCCTTCTCCTCCTCCAGTTCCTCCTCCTCCTCCTCCTCCTCCTCCTCCTCCTCCTCCTCCTCCTCTCCTCCCCTCCCCCTCTCCTCCTCCTCCTCCTCCTCCTCCTCCTCCTCCTCCTCCTCCTCCTCCTCCTCCTCCTCCTCCCGATCCTGCCCCTCCCCTTGGCAGGCAGAGCTCGGCAAGCAGCTCGGGCTCGACGTCAACCTGGCGAGCGCGGAGAGCGTGGGCGACGGAGGTGTGCACCAGGGGCGGGGTGAGACGATGGAAGCGGGCTCCCCGCGTCGAGGAGGAGGATGAAGATGAGAAGGTGGAGGAATACGATAAGGAGGAGGACGAGGAGAAGGAGGAGGAGCAGGTGGAGAAGGAAGAGGAGGAGGAGGAGGAGGAGGAGGAGGAGGAGGAGGAGGAGGCGTAGTGATGAGGAACGAGGAGGAGGAGGAGCAGGAGGAGGAGGAGGAGGAGGAGCAAGGAGCAAGGAGGAGGAGGAGGAGGAGGAGGAGGAGCGAGGGACACGATTCTGATGGTGATGATGCTGCTGACGATGATGGGGATTATGATGAGGATGATGATGATGCTGCTGACGATGATGCTGCTGCTTCTGATGATAACGATCATGACGACGACGCCAACGACTATGATCATGCTGATGATGACGCTAATGATGCTGATGATGATGATGATGAGGAGGAGGAGGAGGAGGAGGATGATGATGATGATGGTGGTGATGATGATGATGATGATCATGATGATGATGATGTTGCAGATGATGATGATGATGATGACGATGCTGGTGATGATGCTGATGATGTCGATACTGATGCTGGTGCTAATGCTGCTGATGCTGATGATGCTGATGATGATTGTGCTGCTAACTCTGATGATGATGCTGATGCTGATGCTGATGCTGATGATGCTAATGCTGATGATGATGAGGTCGACGACGATTCAGATGATGATGACGATGCTGGTAATGCTGATGTTGATGATGATGATTCTGATACTGCTGGTGATGATGCCGATGACGATGCTGCTGATGATGCTGATGCTGCTGATGATGATGACTGGGATGATGACGACGATGATGCTGATGATGCTGATGATGATCAGAATGATGATAATGACGGATATGCGGACGACTATGATTATGATGCTGATGATGACGCTAATGGTGATGCGGTTGATGATGGTGATGCTGATAACGACGATGATGGTGATGTTGATGCTGATGATGATGCTGATGCTGATGGTGGTGATGACGACGCTGTTGCTGATGCTGCTGCTGCTTCTGATGCTGATGCCACTGATGTTGACTATGCTGCTGATTCTGATGATGCTGCTGACGATGCTGATGTTGATGCTGATGCTGATGAAGATGCTGAGGATGATGCTGATGATAACGATGATGTTGATGCTAGTGCTGATGCTGACGCTAATGTTGATGCTGGTGCTGACGCTGATGACGATGATACTGCTGCTGATGATACTGCTGATGAAGATGACGATGCTGATGCTGATGAAGATGAGGATGCTGATCATGGTAATTATTACACTGATGACGATGATGATGATGATGCTGATGATGCTGATGCTGACGATGATGATGCATAAGAGGAGGAACATGATGGTGCTGATGCTGATAATGCTGACGATGATTATGCTGCAGACGATGGTGATGACGTTGATGATGCTGCTGCTGATGATGATGATGACGAAGAAGGAAAATAGTATGGTGATGCTGGGGAAGCAGAATACGCTGCTGCTGATGATGATGATGATGATTGTGGTGGTGAGGATGATGAAGATCATGCCGATGCTGACGATGACGATGCTGATAATGCTCCTCAAGATGATGGTGCTGTTGCTGATTATGATGATGATGCTGACGATGATCATGAGGGCGATGCTGCTGCTGTTCATGATGATGGTGATGATGATGGCGATGCTGATGATGATGTTGATTATTATACGTATGATGATGACGACGATGATGATGACGATGCTGATGACGATGATGATGATGATGATGATGATGATGATGATGATGCTGATGATGATGATGATGATGATGAGGATGATGATGATGATGATGATGATGATGATGATGATGATGATGATGATGATGCTGATGATGATGATGATGAGGAGGAGGAGGAGGAGGAGGAGGAGGAGGAGGGTGAGGAGGAACGAGAAGAAGCGAGGAGGAACGAGGAGGTGCGAGATGGAGCGAGGAGGAGCGAGGAGAAGCGTTGAGGCGCGAGGAGGAGCGTGGAGAAGTGAGGAGGAGCGAGGAGGCGCGAGGAGGAGCGCGGAGGCGCGAGGAGGAGCGAGGAGGAGCAAGGAGGAGCGAGGAGATGTGAGGAGGTGCGAGGAGTAGCGAGGATGCGCGCGGAGCGAGGTGCGAGGAGCAAGGAGGAGGAGGAGGAGGAGGAGGAGGAGGAGGAGGAGGAGTGAGGAATGAGGACGAGGAGGAGAGACGCGGGGATGAGGAGGATGAACGAGGAGGAGGTGGATAAGGAGGAGGAGGAGGAGGAGGAGGAGGAGGAGGAGGAGGAGGATGCGGATGAGCGTTGGAAGTTCGCGGTGAGGTCTTGTCCCATCACCATGCCCCAGTCTTGTCCTTCTCATCGATCCTCCGTCTCCTCATCGATCCTTCTCCCCCTCCTCGGTCCTCTCCTTCCTCGATCCTCTTCGTCCTCCTCCTCGATCCTTCTCCTACTCCTCCTCCTCCTCTTCTCCGCAGCGGCCTGCCGAGAGCAGAATCACAGCCCGACGCCCGCACCATCCAGCAATACACATCCGAGCCATGCCGTGTGCAACAGCCTTTGCGCGACAGGGTACGATCGCAAGAGCGTTGCATGGGGGTTGTTTGGCGGCGCGCACAGGGACGTGGCGCGAGGGGAGGGGGGGGGCAGCCTTCTACAGAGGTGGGGGTCTGCTAAGAAGGCAGGGGTCTTCTGAGGAGGACCCGGGCGTTTCTGAGAAGCCCCCCGCCTACGAGAAGTTTCCCCGCCTTCCCAGAGGGGCTCCCCTTTCGCGCCGATGATGATGATGACGATGATGATGATTATGACGATGATGATGATGATGATGATGATGATGATGATGATGATGATGATGATGATGACGATGATGATGATGATGATGATGATGATGATGATGATGATGATGATGATGATGATGATGATGATGGTGCTGATGATACTGCTGATGACGATGATGAGAACCGCAGGGCTGGAACACACGCCGTCCTCCAGCTGTGCGTGGCAGCTGCCAGTGCGCGATCGGGTGCCCCGCGCCCCGCTCGGAGGCACGGTCCGCAGCGTCCTCCTGATGTGGACCGCCGATGCGGAGGACGGTGGCGCTGTGCAGGCGGCCTGGGCCTCCGGCCTCCTCCCTCCTCCCTCCTCTCTCCTCCCTCCTCCCTCCTCCCTCCTCCCTCCTCCCTCCTCCCTCCTCCGGAGAAGTCAGAGGGGAAACGGCAGGCCTTGGGGGTTGACGCCAGCACCAGTTTTCGGCGGTGTGCCTCCACCGAGGGAGAAACAGATCTCGATCTTGGCGATGGTGGTACTCTTATGGCTTCCAAGGTGGCCGAAATATTACCACCAACACCAGAATCTAGGATCATCTTCACCCTGTGGAGGCAACCCCCTGTGTTGGTGCTGGTGCCCATTTCCAGGCCTTCCAGGAAACGGTACCGATACCGCTCCCCTTCCTCGTTTTTCGCTGTTCTGGGCCTTCCGGGAGGCCTCCGTCGCGCCGGCCGGAGCCGCCTCCAGATCTCTGTTTCGAGCACAGCCTGGGAGAGGTTCGGGGAGGAGCGGCAGAGTCGAAGACGAAACCTACTCTTTCGAAGGTCCGCGGGGATTGTTTGGATCTGCACTGGGCGCCCCGACCCCCCCGGCGGCGCCTCTGGCGCCGCCCCTGTCGCGCCGCCCCTAGCGCGCTCCGCGCACCAGGGAGGGGGCTTCAGCGACGACCCAAGAAACCGCATCGGGCCTTCGGAAGTTGCTGCTCGTGCATGTTTTTGTGAGGGGGGGCAGGAAGAACAGCAGTGGAAGCGTACCGCTCGGCCTTGAAGTCCGTACCCGGGCCTCGCCGATCAGCGGTTCAGGCAACCCTCGATGGGCGGGGGGCTAGGCTGCGGAATTCGTCGAACACGCAGTGTAGGAAGAGGTGCAGGGGCGACCGTGAACATAGCACAGTCCAGCGGGCTGTGGGGGGCACTGCGTAATGTGGCATATTGTGGCATCACACGAGGTCGACGACGCCCTCCTCGAGCCCGCTCTAACCTCCCTCTTTCCTCCTTGCTCTTTCCTCCTCCCTCTCTTCTCCCTCGTCCCTCCTCGTCCGTGCTCTCTCCTCCCTGGTTCCTCCTCAAGGGCGCGCGCCGGTGGCGAGAGGCCGTCTGACAGCATAATCGACGTCGGTTCAGGCTGACTCCGACCGGCCTACTCCTTACCGTCTCCCTCCTCCCTCCTTTCGGGTATAGCCAGGACCCCGGGTAAGGAGACCCGGTTACTGCTAGGGCCCCAGAGCCTTTGAATTTGCCAGAATCACTAAACCAGGTTTTCCATAGCTGGTATTTTGTCGGGTGACGGCAGTTCCGGTTAGTAGAAACGGGACGGGGGGGCGCCCCCGGTATAGATCTCTAAACCAGGTTCCACTAAACCCAGTTCTGCCAACGCCCGATCCTTCTCCGCAGGCCACGCTGCAGAGCCGAGCCACCGCCATCGAGAAGGCCGTGGAGGAGCGCGTCACGGGCGTGCGCCTCAGCCCGCGCCTTCTCCCCCCTCCCCCCAGCCGCCGAGATGGAAGAGCAGGGTTGCTGCTGAGCAGGGTGAGGAACACGAGGCAGAGGAGGAGGAGGAGGAAGAGGAGGAGGAGGAGGAGGAGGAGGAGGAGGAGGAGGAGGAGGAGGAGGAGGAGGAGGAGGACAGTGGAGGAGGAGCAGGAGGAGGAGGAGGAGGTGCATGTACGAGAAGGAGGAGGAGTAGGAGGTGGAGGAGGTGGAGGAGGAGGAGGAGGAGGAGGAGAGGAGTAGAAAGGAGGAAAGAGGACGGAGGAGCAAGATGAGGAAGATGAGGAGGAGGCGGAGGAGGATCAGGACCAGGGTAAACCCAAGAGTCATCAGCGATGTTGGAATGAACCCTCCCTTCAAGCTCCCTCTTCATAGGCCCTTACAAGGATTTATTTTCACTGAGGGAGCTGCCTCGTTGGAAGGTAACCGTTTGAAGACCCTGAAGCATGCCAAAACATGGTTCTCGGGATTCCAGCGCCACGGATCAACCGTACTGTTGCGTCTTGACGATCCTGGATCGTGCCATAGCGCCAGTCCTAGGACGTAATTGTTGCACCCGCAAAACCCAGAGTCCTTCCAAAACGCCATTTCTGGTACGCTGATCATGGGAATCCGTGAGGCCCTTGAACATTCAAAACAAATGTGCGCGGCGCTAATGCGAGAGCCACATTTTGAAAAGCATCCGCCCTCAAATCTTAAACTCTGGCGTAGTTTAAAAACGAATGTGCGCGGTGCTAAATGCGAGAGCCACATTTTGAAAACCCTTCTCCCTCAATCCGTGAAGCTCTTGCAAAACGAATGTTTGCGGCGCTAAGGCGAGAGCCGCATGCTTAAAACCATTCGCCCTCAATCCGTGAGACTTTTGCGAATCTTTAAAACGAGTATGCGTCGATCTGAGGCGCGAGTCACATTTTGAAAACGACCCGCCCTCAATCTGTAGAATTGTTACCATGTTTTAAGCTTCAGGGCCGTAACTGGTGAGGAAGTCTCGGGCGGAACGCCCGGCCCGCCCTACACCACTGGCCCCGCGGCGCGACAGGGAGAAGTCATTGCTCAGGCCTTGCGGCCAGTGCCGCCGACCCTGGAGGTCTCGGCCCTGCCGACACGCCCCGGCAGGGTGGTGTGCTGAACCGGGCCCTCCCCCCGGGACCAGCCCCCCTGGCCCGAGACCACCGCCCCGGGACCCACCCCCGGGAGCTTCCCCCCCCCTTCGGCGGGGAAGGGACCACAGGGAAGGGGCTTCCCTTGGACTCAATGACAGCGCTGCTCATTTTCCGCTGTGGATGGGCTGGTGTATTTAGCTTTGGCTGGCGTGCTTGAGGACGAGGGCCCAAAGAAAAGGGGGGGGCGGCGACGGACTCAAGAGAAGGAGGGGACGTGATGCCAGCGGCGACGCGACGCGACGGCGATGGCGACGGAACAGCCCCTGTCACACGCCGACAGGGTCGGCGGATTTCTAAGGACAAGGAATGGAGGAGGAGGAGGAGGAGGAGGAGGAGGAGGAGGAGGAGGAGGAGGAGGAGGAAAAGCAGGAGGAGGAGAAGCAGGAGGAGGAGGAGGAGGAGGAGGAGAAGGAGGAAGAGGAGGAGGAGGAGGAGGAGGAGCAGGAGCAGGGGAGTGACTGTGAGGAGGATCGGATCCAGTTCCCATTCTTGGGCTCCAGAGGTCCCCGCACGCCCGCCCCCGCCCACCTCATTACGTCGCTCCTCTCCCTCGTTTCCCTTGTCCGGCCACGCGCAGATCTTTTCTTTGGGGGATGGGGAGGCTTCTCGGCAGGAGGCTGCTCCTTCTCAGAAGGCGCGGGGGCCGCATCTCTGTTTGTGAGGCCCGCGCCTCGTAAGAAGCAGCCTCCTCCCGAGAAGCCTTCCCCCCTCCCCCTGCCTCCCTCTGCGCGCCGCCGGCCTCTGCCGCCGCCCTCCTCGGCGCCGCTTCGAGACGCGCGCAGAGCGGCCCTCTCGCGCGGAGCCCCCCGCCTGCAGGCCTCGGTGCCCCCTGGATGCGCGGGGGCACCGCCGAGCTCTGGCTCGGCTGCTCCCTCGACTTCTACGGGCCCGGCGCCGCGAGCCTGCCGCGCGGCTCGAAGCTGGTGCGGAAGCTGGGCGTCCAGAAGGCAGCGGCCGACCCGCCGGGAGGGGCGGCGGGCGGCGAGGGCGAGGAGAGGGAGAGGGGCAACTGCCCGCGGAGGGCGAGCAGAGGGAGGTCCAGGCCCTCCTCTCTCTCCTCCTCCTCGTTCCTCCTCCTCGTCCCTGCTCCTCCTCCTCCTCGTCCCCGCGGCTCCTCCTCCTCCTCCTCCTCCCCTCCTCCCCCTCCTCCTCCTCCTCCTCCTCCCCCTCTCCTCCTCCTCCTCCTCCTCCCCCCTCCCCCTCCCCTCCCCCTCCTCCTCTCCTCCTCCTCCTCCTCCTCCTCCTCCTCCTCCTCCTCCTCCCCCTCCTCCTCCTCCTCTCTCCCTCCGCCTCCCCCTCCTCCCTGGGGCCGCGGCCGCCCGGGTGGGGACGTCTCTCCGACGAGCTGCCCCCGGAGGAGCCTCGCTGCTCTCCGCCCGGGCTCCGCGTCCCCAGGGGCGGGGCCCACAGGCAGGAGGCCCGCGCCCTCCGAGCTCAGGCTGCCTCGGCCGGGCTGGACGAAGGGGGGGGGGATGGGGAAAGGGGGGGCTACAACACGACGCGAAGATCGGGACAACATCGGATCGGGGTAACTCGAAATCTCTGAGAATCGGCGGGTTTGGAGGATGTATTGGGCGCCGCGGCCGCTCCAGAGCGTTCCGGAAGGCTCTGAGAGCGCTCCGGAACGCTCCGGAGCGATCTATCCCGATGCTAGCCCTGTTTTAGGTTACGAGATCTGCGGCACGCCGCTGGTTTCGGCCCCTCGGAAGGGGCCCGTTCCTCGACGCACGGTCGCCTCCCTGCGCCGGGAGGCGCCGGGAGAGTCAGCTATGCGCGAGCTGAGTCTCAAGCCCTTCTTTTGCTATCCCCCCCCTTTACTCACCACCTACCAAACCACCCCAACCCAACCCGAAGGCCTCCATTTGCCCTCCATTTCCAGTGTGGGGGGGTCGGGGAACATTCGAAAAACACGTATGGAACCCATACCCCTCCCAACCCGAAATTTGGGTCTTCGGGTTGGGTTGGGGTGGTCTGGTAGGTAGTCATTTACGCCCGACCCGAGAGGCCCGCGCCCACCGAGGGCAGTCTGCGATCGGGATCGCGGTCGGTCCTCTCCTGCGGGAGGGCGAGAGGGGGGGCGCAGCAGGAGGCGGAGGGGCCCAGAGGAGGCGGAGGGGGTCGGCGATAGGGGGAGAGGGCGCGAGCGGCGCTGCCTGGGTTTGCCGCTGGCGATGCGCCTGCGTGCTGGCTATGCCGAGCCACGCCCCATGACTTTAGCGATCGGCCTCGTTGTGATTGTATGGGCACGGAGTAACACGACACTGCTGCTCTGGAGGCGGAGGAGGTCGGCGAGGGGGAGAGGGGGCGCGAGCGGCGCTGCCTGGGTTTGCCGCTGGCGGTGCGGTTGCGTGCTGGCTATGTGGGGATTCTTGTGAGCGGCTTGGGAGCTCATGTCGGGCCGGACGAAAGGGGGGGATTGGGAAAGGGGGGGTTACGAAATTTGCTGCATGCAGCTGGTTTCGGCCTCACCGAGGGGCCCATTCCTCGATACAGAGCCGCCTCCGGCGCCGGGAGGCGCCGGGAAAATCAGCTACGTGAGCTGATTCTCAAACCCCCCCTTTGCTATCCCCCCCTTTCGCCCGACCCGATCATGGGAGCTCTTCGGGTGCAGAGTGTGGATATATCGATGATTCGGGCTCTCGGGCACTGGCGGGGGTGGGGTAAGCATATCCACATCCACCCGCCTGCCCAGATCCCCGAAGATCGATCTCTCGGGGGTGGACAGACCTCCTTCCCTGACACGTCGATGAAAGAATTGGCCGTGTTCGCTTCGCGAGAGGGCCTCGCGGCCGTCATTTTTGCGGGTTCAGGTCCGTCGGTTTCGGTCCCAGGCCGTTTTCACCAATGGGAGGTTTACTAGAGGAAGGTTTGTCCACCGCCGAGCTATGCCGAGCCACGCCCCGTGTCGCGCTAGCAGCTCCGAGGTGCATGACTTTGGCGATCGGCCCCGTTGTGATTTGTATGGGCACGGAGTAGCACGACACTGCTGCTGTGTGGTGGCGGCGCCACATCGCCTGTGCCTCTTTGGCGAGTGGTCTGACGAAGCGTGCCTCTGTATCAGCCCAGTGGGCCAGAACCTTCAGATGCACAAGCGGCGCATGCATATGTGTTACGGTACCCCCAATCCTAAGATAGCGCGTCTGGGACCCCCCTCCAAAGAGCGGTGCAGCAACACGGGCCCAGCAGCGAGACCCCAAACATACTCTTCCTCGACGAGGCTCGCCCGCTAGACCCCCCCCACACACAAGTACGGCAGGTCCGTGTCGCGTCGACCGGCGGCGACCCCGCCGCCAACGTTCAACGTTGAACGCCGCCAGCGACCCAGAATGAATCGACGTTGAAGATTTGACGTTTCGGAGACCGCGGGTCGCTCCAGGCTGAACGATCCCCGCTGCGTCAGGAGCCAACGCCGAAGTCGGCGGATAGTTCAAGGTTGAACGATCCCCGCTGTGTCAGGAGCCAACGCCGGAGTCGGCACGATACGAATCTTCGAATAGAGTGTCTGTGTTGTGTGTGTGTGTGTGTGTGTGTGAGTCTGAGTGTGTGCATGGCGGGTTTCCGCACCCGCGTGGGCCAGTGCTGTTCCTCGCGACTGCGGTGTCCCATCGCCGGCGGAGGCAGACGTGCGAGTGTGGTCGGCGCCACCCCAATCTACTGGTACTGCGTGTTCGTCGCCCCCCGCTGATGGCGACGCACGCGCAGGGGGCTCTTTTTGCACCTGCTCGGTGGCGGGCGGCCTCTTTTGGCCGTGCCGCCCGGGAGCGATAGACTACAAGATGGCTCTACCACATGTTCGGGTCGGACGCGCACCTCCAAGGAGGACACACAGCAGCAGCAATGTCCGTCTGCGTCCCATGTGGGAGCGGTGCTGTTACTCTGCATCTTCCTCAGTGCCGTCGGGGTTTCTTGCGCGTCTGCGCGCCATCTTCTCGCGCCAGCGTGAGGGAACATCTGGAACTCGAGGCGGCGAGCGAGGTGGAGAGGGGCAGATGGAGAGAGAGACGGGGACAGCTCAGGCTGATGCGGACGCCGGTGCTGAACGCGCCCTTCGGAGGGCACCGGCACAGAGCACATGCACCGATCCTGGCCAGGCGCAGCATGGGGCCAGCCACGGTGCATTCGCCCTCCTGGCCAAGACGGGGGGCCGCGCACACCACATCAATCCCACACCCAGGAGCGGCACACGGGCAGGGTCGGCGCCGACGGTGCGGGCGGTGCGGTGCGGTGCCCGCCGCCGTCGCCGCCGCCGCCCTCGCCTCCGCCGCCGCTCTCTCTCCGTCTCTCGGCTTCGTCCCCGCTCCCGCGGAGAGAGAGTGCTGCACGGCGGCTGCGCAGGACCGCCAGGCCGCGCACTCGCTCGACGCCCGCGCGGGCGGGGGGGCGGAGGCCCGGCCCTGAGCCGGGCCGCGGGCCAGCTGCGCCCCCGTGCCTCCTCGTCTTTCTGCCTTTCTGGAGCTCGCTGATCCGATGCTCGTCTTGGGGACCTTTCTGGGGCCTACATCATGGATCTGTTCGACTCCAGTTCGACTCAACTTCGACTCAACTTCGACTCAGGTTCGACTCAGGTTCGACGCGGGTCGATGGACGTCCGACGCAGCTCCGACGAACGAGTGGAGCGAGTGGCTCCAAGGAGGCCCCCCGAAAGATCGTCTAACGCTGAGGGGCTGCGGGCGCGACCTGTGTTTCAGGGGCGACGGGACTGAGAGGGGGTAATGCTCGTAGGGCAGGGGCAGGCCAGAGCAGCGCCAGCGACCTCCAACTCCCTCCCTGCCTCTCCCTTCTCCCGTCGCCACTCTCCCCTGTGACCCGTCTCCCTGCTCTAGGCCCCCCCTCTCACCTCCTCCGTCGCGCCACCTCCTCCCGCCCCCTCCGCTCCTCATCCCCGCTCGCCCCCAACTGGATGGACCGTTGGTTCTTCCGGATTCGACTCCCGATGCTAAAGGATTGTTGCCAGTGATAATGTTGGCGCAAAGGCGAATCACGAAGTCCAGTCAGCGCTGGGAAATCCGGCCTCGAACGGGGATGGGTTTGCGGTCGCGAGGCGAAATTATGTCGGTCGAGCGGGGAAAGCCTGAGGGGCTTGACCAGGATATTTTCTCATGTGAACGAGGACATGTTCTCGCGGTTGCGCTTGAATAGGGGATGTTATTTCTCGAAGGTTGTGGCTTGATGCTTGGAGGCGGGTCTTCATCTCAGGCTTCGGACTTGCGGTGGTTGCCTGGTTTCTCTGGGGGTCGGGTGTGCACTCAACGTCTGCTTTCGTTGTGTTTGGGGCTCTCTGGAGGCGGAGCTTCATCAGGCTGCCCTCGGTGCCCCTTGACTGGCCCTGGAATGTAGACTCGGTGTGCGGCTGCTGCTCTGTCCCGTGGAGAAGTTTGCAAACGTAGGGAGGGCGGGTCTTGTGAGTTTCGCTTCCTGCATTCTTCTTGCTCGTGTGAGTTCCCTGTCTTGTATGTGGTAGAATTCATCTGAAGGTGATTTCTGTTCCCCTTCAGAGTTGTTCGGTGTCGTTTCGTATGCTCTCGATCCGTGGCGGTCTGCGGGGTGGGTGGGGGTTTCGCTCTTGCTTTTGTGGCGTACTGGCTCTCTCGAGACGGCGCCTCCGCGGGCTTTCGTTGTTTGTTTTCTTGAGGGGGGGGGCTCTTCCATGTTTTTTTTCTCGGCTGTGGGGCGTCCTCGATGTTCTGCATCCTGCCACTCGTGCGCGAGAGGCGCGGTTGCGGGCGTGAGTCGTTTTTTCCAGGCTGCCCTAGAAACCACTGGTTTAGCTCGCGTCGGTTTGCCCTGGATCGTCGGCTCAGGGAGTGCGGCTGCCTGGCCGTTTCGTGCGCAAATTTTTGACACGTACGGCGGGTAGCGTTTGTGCGTCCTGCGGCTGGTGCGATCCGCTGGCTGATTCTCTTGCTCCTATGTTTTTGTTGCTCGTTGGCTGGCTCCACAGAACTGTTGTAGTTAGCCCTGTGCTGTTTAGCCGATGCGCCGTGCGGCGCGGCTCCACTGACTGACTGACTGGGAGGAGGGGAGAGGGGAGGGGAGGGGGGAGGGATTGCGGAAGCGTAGAAAGGAAAAGAGGATGAGGAGGAGGAAGAGACGGATGAGGATGAGGAGAAGGAGGAGGAGGAAGAGGAGGAGGAAGAGGGGGAGGACGAAGATCAGGAGTGGAGGAGGAGGAGGAGGAGAAGGAGGAGGAGGAGGAGGAGGAGAGGGATGATGGACGGGGACATGGAGGGAACACATGGAGGAGGAGGAGGGGCAACAGGAGAAGGAGGACCAATGTAAACCAAAACCCCATCAACGATGCCGGAGTATGCCCTTCCCCGAGCCCCCCCCTTCACATGCAGCTAGAACGGGTCATTTCCACTGAAGAAACAGTGCCCCATTCGGAGACAACCGTTTGAAGATCTTGAAGCGTGCACGCATACCATGGTCTGGATTCTTGCGCCACGAATGAACTTGAGTCATACGTCTTTACGATATGGCTCGTGCAACAACGCCATTCCTGGGACTCCAGCGCCGCGAATCAGCGTGACTGATGCGCCCTGGAAATCTTGGGTCGTCCCAGCATCTCATTCCTGGCGCGTCAGCAGAGGGAATTCGTGGAGTTCTGGCAGAAGGTTGGAGACGCGCGTGCGCGGCGCTGGGGCCAGGAGCCGGCAGTTTGAGACGGGCGCCGCTTTCCAATCCCGGGACGCTGCTGCAGCTGTCTCGGACGAGGGGGTGTGCGCGGTGCTGCGGCGAGGGCCACCGCTTTTTGAGAGGGGCCCGCCCCCCGTCGTCTTCGGGCGCCGTGCGCGCGGCGCGCGTGTAGGGCGGCATGCCGGGAGCGACCCGCCGTCCGGGGTGCCGATGTCGAAGCCTCCGGGTCGCGGAGCTTGGCATCGCTCGGACGTGTGTATTTTTCCTTCGGCGAGGACCATCGAGGAGCATCCTTGATCATTTGGCGAAAAAACACGCGCGAAACCGAAAAAAACACAGGGCATGGACGTCCGAGCGATGGCGAGGGAGGGTCGGGCGGTCTCGGGCGCAACGCCCTGCCCGCCCTTCCGATTGGCCTTCGGGGGGCGGCAGGGCGGGTTCTTTGTTGCAGGAGGAAAACGAATGGAGATGGAGGAGGAGGAGGAGTTGGAGCGAGGAGGGGGACGAGGAGGAGGAGGTGGAGGAGGAGGAGGAGGAGGAGGAGGGAGGGGAAGGGGGAGGGAGGTGGTAGCGACGTGCGGGTCGCTGTCGTCGCCGTCGTCGTCGCCCTCGTCGTCGTCGTCGTCGTCGTCCTCGTCGTCGTATCCGAATTCGTCGTCGTCGTTGCAGCGGTCGTCCTCGTATTCGTCGTCGTCGTCGCCGTCGTCATCGTACTCGTCGTCGTCGTCGTCGTTCTCGTCGTCGTTCTCGGTATCATCGTCGTTATTTTGTCGTCGTCGTCGTCGTCGTCGTCGTCGTCGTCGTCGTCGTCGTCGTCGTCGTCGTCGTCGTCGTCGTCGTCGTCGTCGTTTTTGTCGTCGTTATCGTCGACGAGTCATTTTCTTCGTGTCGCCCTCTTGCTACACAAGCGAATCTTAGTTTCGCCCACCCCGTCATGCGTTGCCACGTGACGGGTAGGGTCATGTGCTTCCTCTCAATGCGTTGCCACGTGGCGGGTAGAGAAGAAGGGTATGTATTGTTGTTCCCTTTCACGAGTAGAAGCGCCACGATTTGTTGTCGCCCCCGCGTTTCCACCTGGCAAATTAAGCGGGCGGGCGGGCGCGCGGGCGGGCGCGCGGGCGCGCGCGCGCGGTCGGGCAGGCGGGAGGGTGCGCGGGCGAGCGGGCGAGCGGGCGTGTTTGCGTCTGATGTGCTCTAGCGGGTTGGTAGGTGCAGCTGCTCTCATGGCGGAGCTTTATTGTGTAAACGTGTCTGTGGTTATCGTTCGGCGTCGTTGTCGTCATCATCGCGTTGCTGGTTTGATATGTCATTCTCGTGTTCTCGTGTTCTTCGCGACGTGCCCAGATGCCTGCGAATCCCGCTGCCGATATCAGAAAGAGCGTATTCTACCGCTGCTGGCGGCAAACTGAGGGGGTCACTACCGGTTCGAACCCCTCCCCCCCCCCTCCGGAAAACTGGGGGGGGTGACTACCGGTTCGAACCCCTCCCCCCCCCCCTAGTTCATCATGAAACGGGGGGGGGGTCACTACCGGTTCGAACCCCCCCCCGCCCCTCGAAAACCGGGGGGGGTCACTACCGGTTCGACCCCCCCCCCCACCCTCGAAAACCGAGGCGGGGGGTGCGAACAGTGGTGGGGACGGTGGTGGTGGGGACGGTGGTGGTGGGGACAGTGGTGGGGGGACAGCGGGACAGTGGTGGGGACTGTGGGACACTGGTGGGGACGGTAGTGGTGGGGACAGTAGTGAGGGCAATGGTGGGAACAGTGGGGACAGTGGACAGTGGTGGGGACGGTGGTGGTGGGGACCGTGGTGTGCAGGGACAGTGGGAATGAGGTGGGACCAGTGGGACAGTGGAGGGTACAGTGGTGGTGGGGACAGTGGTTAAGGCGGTGGCGAGGACAGCGGTGGGACAATGGGACAGAGGTACAGTGGGGACAGTGGTGGGGACAGTGGGGACAGTGGTGGGAACAGTGGGACAGCTCAGTGGGACAGCGGAGGAGTCAGTGGGACAGTGGGGACAGTGGGGATAGTCGGGCAGTGGTTGGGGCCGTGGAGAAAGTGGGGAGAGTGGAACCGTGGTGGGAACAGTGGTGGGGACAGTGGGGACAGTGCGACAGTGGTGGGGGCACTGGTGGGGACAGTAGGGACGGTGGTGGAACCAGTGGGGACAGTGGTGGTGAGGACAGTGGTGCTGGGAACAACAGTGGGGGATGTGGTGCGGACGGTGGTAGGGACCGGGAGTCGTTTGCTGGCGGTGAGGGGGGGGGGTGGGGGGGTTCGAACCGGTAGTGACCCCCCCTCCGGTTTTCGAGGGGGGGGGGGGTTCGAACCGGTAGTGACCCCCCTGGTTTTCGAGGGGGAGGGGGGGGGGGGAAGGGGGGGGGGGGGGGGGGGTTGGGGGGGAGGGAGGGGGGGGGGTCCAGCAGTGGGGGGGTTTTCGTAGGGGGGGGGGAACCCCGGGCTCCGGAGGAAGAGGGGGGCAATTTTCCACAGTAAAGCGGCGGTGGATCACGCTCTCTCCGATATCAACGTCTCCCGCCCTAAAATTGAAAACTCGGGGTGACCGAAATTGTTTCGCCAAGGGTAGAGGTTTCGAGATCAGGGCAGGCGTCGTGCATTGAGGTGTCTCATTGGGGCTCACGAGCCAAGCTCGGGGCGAACCACGTCGTCGACTTATCCATAGCTTCTGTCTGCATTGAGGCAGGGAGGCTTGAAGGGGGAAAGGGGGGTCGGAGAAATAATTTTGTTCGCAGGGCTGGTTGT